AAGGAGACTATTTATTTGCATCCATGTCTCCTCATCTCCATCATCATCATCATCATCATCTTCATCTTTTTCTCTGTCTTTTCTTTCGCATTTTGTCTGGTTCCCTATTTTTTTTTTCGGGTCATTCTACTTACTATTTACCTTTACAACTATTTCCACTTCCGTTGTAAGTGATTAAGACTAATAATCATCATTACTTTAACTCGATATTGATTATTACAATTAAAGTTGATTATTGTCTCTGTTTAGGTTGATTACTTTTTTTCTTACTCTTTTGTTGAAAATGGTTAACAGGTAAACCATTTGATTATTTTTAATTGAAAACCTTTGAGGTAAATTTTTCCGGCAACAATTAACTAATTGTTAGACTTTTCTGTTTTCAACTTTTAACTGGTAACAAAACTTTTCCCTTCTGTTATTAAATGAGTAGGAAAAAATTTCTGTTACATTGATTAACTTTATTACCAATTGATTGATTTAATTTTTGTCAATTAAAATATTATAAATAACTTGACTTGGAAACAATAATTAAATGTAATTTAAATTTAAACATTAAATTATAACTCTGATTGTGATTACATTGATTTATTTAAATTGGTAACCAGATCCAAAGGAGTGTCAAGTTTATATATAAATTTACATATTAACCAAAATTACAATTTGATAAACATAATCACAATTAGATAATCATAATAACCAATCAATAATTTAATATTCATAAACTGGATTCAAATAGTAACATTGAATTGATACAATTAATTTAATCATAGTTATCTAATGGTCAAGTTAACTGGACATTATTTTGAATTTTATGATTAAAATATATTAAAAAAATAGTATTTCTTAGATATAGAAAAATTTTCAACGACAATTAACTAATCACTCAATTGAATAGTGAACAATTAAACGATTTTCATTAAAAAAAAGAGCATCAGATTGATAATAATCATTCAATTGAAACTTAATTGTCAATGATAAAAGTTTAATTACTCTTGGTTCTGATGCAAAGTGAAAAGTGATTAAATCAATTGCCCTTAGTTTCTTAATCATTATGATTTTTAATCCAGTTTAATATCGAGATTGAATTAAATTGATTAGCAAAGATAATTAATTACCTTTGATTTTGTCCAATGAGAGTTGAGACAAAACAACTTGTTAACCAATGGAAATGATTTAAGGTAAAAAAAGAGGAGTCAACTTGCCAATGAGGATGGTAATTAAATTGTTAATTAACAAGAAACAACAAGAAACCAGATTAGGAAACAATTAAAGTTACATGAGTTAAATGTAATCATCACAATTTAATGACAATTAAAAGTCGTAGTAAAAATATATCTCTGGATAATTATGATTACCTAAGGGAGGAGTTGAGAGGCTATTCAAATTGCTCTGGAAATGATAACCTTTGATCATAAATGATACTAATCATTATCATGATTAACTATTTAATTGCTGTCTATTATTAACCATTTTTGTATGAGAAAAGTTAATCAAGTTAATTGGATTCTCTGTTAATTTGAAGCAAAAAATTTAATGGAACAAGTTTATCAATGGAAATTGATTGTTAGTTTATTTCTTTCCTTGTGTTCATTTGTTAATTGTGATTAACAAATAATTTCAATTGAAAAATAGTCACAATTATCATATTGTTCATGGTTCTGTTAATTTAGTTAATGTTTCAATGATCCAAGATCACAATTAACTTTCAACTTATTATCATGAACAGGGTTTCAAATTATCATTAGGAATGAAATTGTTACCATTTAGTTACATTAATCGTTAAGTTATAGTTAATTAATTAACTTTTTTTTTGTTTTTACTCTTTTCTCATTAGTTGATGATAATTAAAACACATCGGTGTCCATAGTGATTGTTACAAATACTCAACAATTTACTTGATCATGTTAATTAGTCAACCGATAATCAAATGTACTCATTTCTTTATCCTTATCCTACTGGAACTAATATTAAGTTAGAACAATTTACTTTTTCATCATTCGCTTTTCTCATTGCTTTTTAATTGTTACTGTTTAGTTTCCAATTGTAATTAGTTATTGAAATTTAATTACTTTTATTTTTCACTTGCACAACTTTTTGTTCGCGATTGTTGTTGTTTACCCTTTTCAATTATCAGAATCCAAGTTAATTGTTGCTACAATAGAGTAGGTAAAGTGTAACATTGTTAGTTAATTGTTACTTTGTTGTTGTTGTTGTAAGTTGATTGTGATAATTGATTATCATTTTCCTGTAAATGATTATTGATAATCTTTATTCAAGCTAATTATTCAACTTAATCAAATCAATTGAATATCAAGGAGTGTCCATAGATCAGTTGAATAGTTAATGATTTAACTTGTATGATTAAAGAGAATCCAGAATTACTTGTATAATCACATTGATTGTGGTAAAATCAAATCAGCTAAATCATTCAAATCATCTGCAAGTAAATTAATCAACTACAAGAACGATGATTAAATCAAGTTTCCCATAAAAAGATAATCAGATTTACAATGTAACTACTTTTTTCTGATGGAAACGGTTGATTATTCATCATTTTTTCTTGGTGATGAGGATAAAGATGAGGATGAGGATGAAAATGATGAAAGTAAAGGTGAGTGAGAGAGAGAGAGAGAGAGAGATCACATTTTTGTTAAACATAAGGTTAATCTTCATCTTGATAATCATCATCATCTTCCAGATAATAGCATCAAATATATATGTTTAACTGAACCTTAAATTATAGTTTATATTATATGATTGTTTCCCTGTGAATGAAGCCAAAAGTTGCTAGTTAATTGATACTCTGTCATCCTCAACGGACCCATCTAATCAACAGTCAAATATTGTTGTTGGTTGTTGTTGTTGTTGGTATCTCCGCCAACAAACAATCAACAACAATCAGCTTACAATCAACTTAAATAATGATCATCATACAATAAATATAATATAATATAACAGAAACAACGAAACAAAATTTAGCAAAAAAAAAGTTTTTTTTCTTTTTGAAAAAGTTTCTGATGATGAAGAAGAAAAAATCTAAAGGTAACCCACAATATAAACATATATTACTGATGATGAAGATGATGATGAGGATGATTACAGGTAACACCAAGATTATCTTCCCTTTCTTTTATCTCTCTCATCATGATTTTACCTTGTTCCTTTATATTATCTTTGATTTATCCTCTAAAAAAGGAGGAAGATGAAATCAAGAAGATATTGTTTGTATCTCTCTCTCTCTCTCTCTCTCTCTCTCTCTCTCTCTCTCTCTCTCTCTCTCTCTCTCTCTCTCATCATCGTCGTCATTTTAATCATCATGTTTCATAATTTGATATTATATTCGCCTACTCAATGTTTATCTGTTATTAAATTTAATCACTAACCTTTGATTGTTGTTGATTATTTAAATTGTCAACAGGAAATAACTAAATGATCGGAATGTTGATGATAATCAACTATTTGATTGACATCCGGGTTGATTTATTCAATCAATTATGAGATGATGATGATGAAGATGATGTTAATGATGCTCAATCTGTATTTTTTGCCACAATGGTCATTCCTGGACAATTGTTTATTACTTTTTTCCCCTCTTCCCATTGGACCAAAGGCCATTGGTCAAACATCGTTAGCGGCTAAAACAGTTAAGTCTTAAACGTTATAATGATAGAGGAAAAGTAGGTAATATCATTTTCTGTGAATACCTTTGGAACCACAAATTGACCAACTGACCATTAGAAAAGGGAAACCAAAAGGTAATAAAAATATTCAAACAGTTTAAATTGGAAAATAAAATGAGAAAGAAAAAGAAAAAGAAAAACTTTCGTTAGAACTTTTTCTCTTCTACTTCGTTTAATGTTTTCGATAATTATTTACAAAGGTAATCAAGAGAAAGAGACTAAAGATAATCTCTAATCCTAATCTTTTTCTCCAACAATTAATCTTTCAATCAAATGATTACAATAACAGGCGATTATCTTCATCACCTTCATTATTATCTCTCTCTCTCTCTCTCTCTCTCCCTTTCTCCCTCTATCATCATAATAATTGACCTTATTTATTGTGTCTAAGTGATGGTCAAGTGAAAAGAAATCAAGGTGAGCAAAAAAAAGAGAAAATTTGTTTTTTCATCTTTTCTCTCCTTCAACATCATCACTCTGATATTGAAGTTCTCTTCATCATCTTCCCTGTCATCATCATCTATAGTTAACACGCCCATTTATCATTCCCTATATCAATTTAATTTCATCAGAATCGGTTGATCAGATATGAAGATGAAAAAAAAATAGTAACAATTTAAGAGGCTCAACAATTTAATTTAACCCAATAAAAATCCAAGGTTCATATTATATTGTATCATTATTATGACAACCACAAGTTAGAATTGAGAAAAAAAAAGTTTTTCTTCTGGAAAAAATTATCTCATGGTAAAAATTTATTCCACCCCTGATATTATCTTGATTGTTATCTCAATTCTTCTGAAATCAAATTATATTAAATTGAGATAATGTTAGAAAATAATAATATCCATGATAACAATAATAATCTTTTTCTTTTATTATTTACCAATTGGAACTTTTTTCTTCTTCTTTTTTTTAGATAATATTTTTATTCTTTATCTTTCTCCTTTTCATGTAATTCTTTTACCCAATTGAACTTTTCTTTCATTTAAATCTATTCTCTATACTTTGTAGAATAGAATCAATTTATCTTATCGAAAAGAAAACTTTTACTCTTTCAGAACTTTTAATATTTTCTGGTTTCTTTTGGAGTTTATTGCAATTAACTTTCAGAATTTTCTGATCAACAATTTCCTCTTCCAGTAGTCACTTTGAGAAACCATTTCATTCCTTTTCTGTCAATTTCACCTCCTGATTAGCTTTTAATTGTCAACATTTAGGTTTAATTTTCTGTTGATTGTTTGGTTCAGTTACGATTTGAGATTATTATAAGAACCCTGGTTTCGTTTACAAGAAGCTTCTGCCATCTATCGGCAGGTTTTTCCACTTTCTTTGTAAACATTATCATGTTGCTTTTTTTGTGTCTGATTTAATTTCTTGTTAATTGTTTAGGTGTTTAATTGTTATCGGTGGATTAATTTCTGGTAAAATGTCAATTTTAATCAATGTCCAACGACGTGTGTTCTCTGGTTACATCAGTAAACGAGTAACTCGAGTTGAATCTGATGTTGAATTGACTCAAGAAGATGTCGCCGCAAATGCTTCTGGTCCTAATGATTATCCTCCATCACAATTAGAGAATAGAAATCCTCGTAATTTAGAACAATTAAGCTTCGAAGTTAAACCTCTTGGATGGGAATTGGATAGAGCACGACGAACATTTTGGAATAAGTGAGTTATCCAAATTGAAATGTCTCTTGAATGATTATTAATTGTATTTCTTTGTTTCTTTGTTTTCATCTATTTTTCCTTTAGGGTTATTTTGGAAAAATTCAAAAGTCGTCTCGAAGCTAAAGTTGTCCATCATTCTGGTCGTGTAATTGTGTCAGCATCAACCATTGAAGATAAATTTGCTTCTCAACTTAAAAAGTAATCAGATAATCCTTGAGATATCTTTTCCTTTACATCAAAGAGTCAACAATTATCATTCTCTTGACGTTAATTCAACCTTAACCTTAACCATTATTTACTATTATTCTAATGATAATTACTCAGCAAGTTTTACTTTGATGATGATATTCAAATTATCTTTATTTAGATGAGTAAATATTCAAATTGATGATTCATTAATCTAATTCTAATTTTCTCTCTCCAATCTTTCAGCTTAACAGGTATCGAAGCAGCAGAAAACTTGGGCCAAGTTTTGGCACGAAGATGCTTAGAGAACGGTATTTTATATGCTCTAAATGGTATAACAATTGAAGAGATGAAATCACGAAAGGTAATTAGCAACAATAAGCAGTATTTAATTCACAAGGATCCAAATTTAAATATCATAGTGTGAAAATTGTTCGAGCAATTTCATCAGATTCTAATGTTCTAATCTTTTTTTCCTCCTTTAGACCGCAGCATTTATCGAGGGAATTACGAAATCAGGCTTATGCCTAAAAGAACCACTATTTATATGGCCAAGAAGGAGACGAGATCTTTAAATTGTATTGTATCACAAATAATGGCCATTGATTGATAATATTCTTACCACAATTAAATCAATTAGAAATCAAGTGTAATCATCGAGCCGATGTAAATGTTAATGCGATTTTCTGGACAAGTTGAAAACCAAAGAAAAAGTTATTTAGAATTATCAATAAGTTATATTCTGAATTTTGCTGTTTCGAAAGTAAATAAGCTCATGTAGCCGGAATTCAATCTCTTTTCTTCTCGAAATTCAGACTCTACAACAAATTAATCGAGCCCTCGAATTCAAATATCTGAAAGTTACACTGAACTTATTTTCGAGCTGAATATTATCATCATAAAGATCAGTTGACAACCTAAACATGTAGATGGCTTTAGTAGCTCTGAACTTTCAACAGTTTTGTCAGTTTGATTGAATTTCTTTAAATTATGAATGATCAATATTCATGACAATTTAATTTCTTGTCAAATAATCACTAGATTTTGTATTTATCAATGATTCCAGAAAATGGTTATTAGTTTTATTAAAATTTCAATTTACATTTTGAAGGATAAACAAGAAAGTAACACTCAGCCATAATCGGGAATGAACAATTAACCGGATCAATTTTTGTAGTCGCAGTGTAATTAAGGTATTTCCTAGAAGAAAAAAAGTAAGATGATTAACAACAATTAACAATTTCTAAGATAAATTGAGACTAATTTACCAAAGGTGATTAACTATTTGCAGTTTAACAAAAATATTTAGTAAACAACAGTTAAATTAACGATGATTTTAACAAATATTTGTGGTTTAAACAACAACAAGATTAGACAATTAAAATGTTTCAATGTTTGCAGAGTGAATTAAGTTAATAATTAACTTAAATTGTTTAATAGTAACAACAAGGGAATCTCATTGTAACAACAATTAAGGAACCATAACCAAGCCCAAAATCTTTTGTCTTTATGTTACCAAACAACAATAATTATGTTTTATCAACCCAAAGAAACGGAAACATTTTGATAAACTTAAATAGTTCAAAGTGACTTCTGAAGATGCTGAGAAGATGAAGATGAAGATGAAGATGATATTCGAAAATTTAATTTTCTGTGAAATTTAGTTGATCCTTTGTGGTTTTCTGGTCCTCTGACCTCTAGTTCTGTGTAAGAATTTTTTTCCAACAGAAGATCCATCATTTGAAGCGTAAAAACCAACAACAAGCAAAATAAGTAAGATGATGATCATCTCCATCCTCATCTTCATCTTCATCACCGTAATCATCATCAGTATTATCAACATCTACAATGTACAGGAAGCTGAAAATAAATCGTTGACGAGGACATGAATGTGTAACCCAAGAAGAGAAATATCATTTCTAATGTTACAGTTTTGTCTTTGTGGTTGATTTTTTTTTCCTCTTCCACCATAAGCAAAACTCCCGAATCTGTGGTAATTTTTTTCTCCTCCATTGACAAGGAACATGTTAACGATTAGAACCGAAATGGAAGACGATTGATTAATTAGCTTGATTGGGTTCGATGCGTCGAAAGGATCAGACTTGTGACCAGAAAAAATTGACTTCCAATGTGTGGTCATCCTCATCTTCATCTTCATCTTCATCATCATTAGCATCTTCCTTAACTCCATCCTCATCTTTTTCTTTCATCTTCTCTCTCTCTCTCTTCTTTCAATTGATTGTCTTTCTTTTCTTTATCAACTAATATCATCTTTCTGATTGTTATCTTTTTATGTTCACAGTTTCAACTAATTGTTTACAATTTATCGTCTTATATTAGCTAATTGCTGAGTAATCAACCTGATTGTTACATTGATTTATTTCAAATCTTTCATCACAATTGACGACACAGTAATTAACTATTAAGGTAACAATCAGTCAAGTCATGATTTAATTCAGTTTTAACAATCAACTTCCAATTCATCTCAATTGTTTGTATCGATTCTTAATTCAACAATTTAATCAAAATGTTATATATTAACAATCATACCACATCTAAACAATTACTTTTAATTGGCTTGTGTGTTAATTGTTATTGGCAATAGAAAACAAAAATCATCAGATTCAATTAATCATAATTATCATGCTAATTGGTGGAGAAATTTTTTTTTAATCATCTTTAAATTGGTTGTTTAAAATTTTCTTGGCTTGAAAATTAAATTAATTGCAATTAAAAAAAAAGTTTCCAGTTAATTAAATTACACACCAACACACACACACATAACAGTTAGTTAAAAGCTTGAAACGTAATTATAAAAAAGTTTAATCAACTTGACTAATTGATTGTAACCTAAATTTGTATTCACCAATCAATTTCAATTATAATAGTTAAAAACTTACCTAATTCAGTGATTGAGATGATAATTAGTGAAGTTAATTGTTCAATTTTAACAATGAATTTTAATTGAATCAAAAAGTTACAAAGTAATTCAATGAGTCTGATTGCCGGTGATTAGTGTGGTTATAAACATTGGTGATATTGTAGTTGTATCGTTGCTGTTAATTGTTTCATTTGATGAATTAGTTAAATTGTAAAGTGCAGGTAAACGATGCTCATTGTCCATATGATATTGATGTAAAAGTACAACAATTAAGGCAAAGAAGAACAATGAAAATGCCAAACTAGTTAATTGCATAAACACTGAAGACATACGAGGGATAATTGGGAACATTTTACCATTAGAATCACAATCAGAATCATAATCAGTAAATCCTGATTCTGGATTAAGTTTCGAGGAGCACATTATGATAATTGATGAAGATAATGATGATAACAATGATGAAGACAATAACAATTAGCCCTCCCTCTCTCTCTTTCTCTCTCTCTCTTTAGTTTTTTTTCACTCAATAACAATTAAGATATTGAATTACCAATTTGATGGGTTATTGTTGGCAAGCTGATTGTCAGAAATTGGAAAACAATTAGTTTTTAATTGTTGTGTGACACTTTGGTTGGTTGAATCAACTATCGTTACTGTCCATTAACTGGATTTACCTTTTGATTGATTGATTGTTGATATAAAATCATTGATTGGGGTTGGGATTCTTGTGAGTGGGCTGGCTGATTAATCAATTGATCTAATTAATTCATATCATGGAAACCGGAAAGATGAACATGAGTGTTGATTGATTTAATTTCATTTGATTTCTAACTAATCATTGCTCCACCATGATTAGTAATCCTTTATTGTAACAATGCTCAATTTGATTCAATTCAAGGTAAATCACAACAATCAATTTTATCAAGATTAATTGTTTATTACCTTGATTGTTTATGTTTACTGTTTTGTTTATCATTTAAATTGTGTTTAATTTAAAATCATTTTGAAAAGACTAAATTGTTGTTCAATCAAATATTTTTGTTTTGCTTGTTACAATTAATAAATTGTTACTCAGGTTAATGATCTGATTTAACTTGATTTCATAATCTGATTATTATTCATTATCATTTTGTAACAATTGCAAACTGATTTGCTTGATGATCAGGCTAATCGATAATTAACTTTTCTCAAGGTTAATTGTTCACTAGACTACAATTAATAATTAAACCAAGACTAATTGTTGACTAATTTTTTTTATATATAAAAAAAACTCTTGTCATTACAACTAATTCTTGGTCTTTTTTAGGATATTAATTGTGATAAGTTTGATCGTTTTAATTTGATTTGGTTTATTAATTGTTGATTCACATTTAATTGTAAAGAGTAAAAATGATTGATCAAAGAATCAATTTCTGAGATTTTCTGATTACCATCACTGAATCGTGATTTCTAAGGTTCGTCAGAATTGATTGTCAGAAAATTAATCATTAGAATTTGATGATTAATCTATTTAATTGTTATTTCTTGAAAGAGGCACGGATTCGGCGATTTTATCGATCAAGAATGTTCAGTTATCGAATATTTGAGAGTTCGTGCAATTAGAGTTCGATTTTAATCCAAAGAGAGCAACGAAACATTGAAAAGTATTAATGAAAACTTACGATTCATTGGGCATCAGATATAAATATTAATAGTTTCTCAGATTATTTTGGAACTCATGAGTTCTCATGATAAATTACCAGTTTTCTGAAGTTCACATTGTATATTGAGTTTTATGAAAACATTTCGATCGAGATACTTGAATATCTTCATGAAACTAATTTTCCTCATCACGATGGATCGAAAGTTTTACCAGAATGTTGAAATCTAGTCAGAACTGTTAATTGTTTCCACGATTTTACCACCGAATCGCGATTCATTTTGATTGTTTGTATCTATGGCAACAAAGGTAAGGAAAATTAGACTAACCAATTTGACGATTTATGAATGAGATTGATTAGTTTTTTTCGATAACAAATTTGTAATACAAACGACGTAATTGTAGAGAGAGAGGGAGAGTAATCAACTAGTAAATACTATTTAAATGCTCATTAATCACGATATCTCAGGTGCTTGATTGAGGTGTCAATAGAAAGGGAAGAAGATAATTGATTCATTGGAATTAATTATCTTTATAATAATTAATGACTTTCAATCATGAAAACAAATTTGTTATAAATATCAGGTCTCTTTAGGTTGGCCCGTGAGATTAATTGTTACTTTACAAGTGATCAGATTGTTTGTTAACAGTTAATCAAGATGAGCTTTTTAATTATCTCAATTGTTGTCAATTGTTTTGTTCTAATCGCTTCAGCTCAAGATGAAGCTTCTGCTGTCGCTTCAGCGGATTCATTTGCTTCTGCAGTAGCTAATTCATCGGCTCCATTATCAGGTGAATCTAAGGCTCGAACAGCCGACAAGGTTTATAATCCGTGTGGAACTGTTTGTCCTTTGACTTGTGCACAACCTAAACCACGAGGTTGTATCAGAACCTGTAAAGCTGGTTATCTCTGCCCTGACGGCTATTATGAAAACTCTCAAGGTAAATGTGTCCTCCTAGAAGATTGTGACTCAGCTCCAACCACAACTGAGCCTCCACGTCATTTACCAGGTCACATTGTATATCGACCTCCAACCGCAGAAAAGGTTTACAGCGAATGTGGATCTACTTGCCCATTGAAATGTTCCAGTCCCAAGCCACAAATTTGTAATGCTCTTTGTAGACCCGGTTTCGCTTGCCCTAAAGGCTACTACGAAAACTCTGCTGATAAATGTGTCCTTCCCGAATATTGTGACTCAGCTCCAACCACAACTGAACCTCCACGACATTTACCAGGACACATTGTTGGACGTCCTCGACCTCGACCTCGACCATTCCCCATCAATGATCCATCACCATCATGGCCAAATGAATTCAAGCCTCGAACTGCTGCCAAGGTCTACAATGAATGTGGAACCGCTTGTCCAAAAACTTGCGCTCAACCCAACGATCGACCTTGTATCTTAATCTGTAAGGAAGGATGGTTCTGTCCATCAGGTTATTACGAAAACTCAGTCGGTGAATGTGTTCTCTTGGAAGACTGCGATTTAGGATCACAACCTCCACGAAATTGTTGGACACCTCGACCTCAACCAGCTCTAGGTAACCAAGAGCAATTAAATATCGCTGAATATTAAATGAAATCAATTAAACAAAAAAAATGTCTAAAAAGTTACAAATTGTATTAATAATAACAATACAAATCTTTTGATTTCTATTAACATTTTCCAATAAAATATATTCACTCAAGAAGATTTTCTATCAATTTCAATTGTAATGATTACTTAATGCTATTAGTAGATCATTCTGATAACATTTTTATTTGTTCGAATTTTTGACCTGAAAGTATATCCATGAAAAGAACAGGATAACTATTTCTATTGCTATTTTAGAAGTTTTCGAGTTAGAGTTTAATTTGTTCTTAGCAACAGAAATTCGCAATCGAAAAATCTAATAAAATTCAATAATTAATTCGAATTCGAAACTCTTGTTTACTCGTTCGTTAAGATCGAAAATTCGAAAAAATAGAAAATCTTTCAAAGTGTCGCACACCAAGTCCAATCACACTTTATATTACTGCGTGACCAATAATACCTTGTTTTTTTTAAATACCCTGTAACTTCTTTATCTTTGATTCAAACCTAATAATTTTAGTAACGAATTAAGCACTAGACTTGCAAGTTAAATATCCATGCTTTCAAAATGATTTTCAATCTACAGGGTGAGTGCCTCAAGGCTCCAAAGGTGGCCAGCGAATAATATTTGATAGTTAAAATCGTGAAAAAACCTAAAATTTACGAAAATTGAGCACTTAATCAGCTGATAACTCATTTTCTCGGAACTTTAAGTAAAAAATTGAGATCAATAACGATAGATACTTCTATTTAGCATATTATGACACCATGAAATAGATTATATACTAAATAGTAATCATCTAATCGCAATTTTTGTTATTTTATGAAACCCTCTGTAACTTTTCGATAGAATGTCCAATTTTCGAAAATTTTATATATAAAAAAACTTCAACTAATTACTGTAAAAATAAGCAGAAAAAAAAGTTACTGTAAGTTAGTATTTAGATTTAAACGCCATACTCAAAAAAACAACATATTATTGGTCACCCAGTAGATAATAAAACGGTGCAAAAATCAATTCAAAGACATTTAGAGGTCAAAATGTGGGAGTAAATATGATTTATTGGAAGTTATCGACTGAGTAAATTTTTACACTTTGTTGCCAGGTAATTATGATTATCTAATTGTTTTTCCATCTTTGTTAATCGTGATCAAAGTGATTAAACTTGTATATTCTTGTTGATTTGATTGTTACAAACTAATAACATCTTTATCTTTCAATATCAGAATATTTTTAGTACCAATCAGTTGATTACGAAAGTAAGATTAATGTGATAAGTATCATTGATCGGAGTAATAATAATAAGTTGCTCAATAACAGGAAAATTAATCATCATCATGAAATAATAAATGTAGAAAAGTTGATTAGTAGACAATTAATCAAGATCATATAATTGTCACTGATTGAGATTTAACATGGAAACAATTGTCTAATTTATCATTACTGAAACATTTTTTTTATTAAAAACTCCATGATAAACTGGAAAAGATTCAGTTTCACTTTGAGAATCAACCAGTAATAATCAACTAATTACATTGAATAAAACAAATCTTTTAAAACTGTTCAGTGTTTCATCATGAAATATACACTCGTTTTCTTGGTTACTCTTTTCGTTATCGTTTCTTGTTCGGCAGAAGTCCAAAAGGAATATAAATCATGTGGATCGGCTTGTCCACCAACTTGTGCCAATCCAAATCCTCAAATTTGTACCATGCAATGTGTATCCGGATATTTCTGTCCAAGAGGTTACGTTTTAAATAGACGAAATCGATGTGTTCGAGTTCAAGACTGTTGAAATCAAAAGGACAATCTATATATATGATATATCAATGCTACGATTGTTGTGTATCATTATGATGAATAAAAATAACGAATAATTTTACTCCAACTTTTCATTTGACTTTGCTTTCGTTACATATTATTAATATAAGAGTCTGATTATTGATCATTGACTAAGAACTTTGAACATTTTAATTTATCAATTTAATTGAGTTTATAATGAACATTCAGTTGATCGGTTAGTGAATTTATCACCAGGGTAACTTCATGATTGAGTTGGAAAAGTTGACCGGCTTTTCATTAAACTGATGAAGTTTTGGTTCGAGCAAGAGTTTCAATGGCTGAGCAAACTTTTTCCGAAGAATCTGATTTCTTTAATTGTTCCGATACTTTCTTCACATTGGTCTGGATCTCATCGTTGTTAAGAACATAATCAATGGCTTTAATTAATTTGTCTCCACTAAATTCCCAAAGATTAATCTTCGTCCCTAATTTAAGATCAACAACTCGCTGGCCGTTGTTGAGTTGATCTCCAAATTGTGGAATCACAATAAAAGGTTTACCTGCAGTAAGACCCTCGATAAGTGAATTAGAACCACCATGAGTGATGAACAAATCGACATGAGGTAAAATCGCTACCTGATTAATAAACTTATCACCCCACATATTATCAGATAATTTGACTTGTTCACCATTTGGTCCAGTTGATACGATAAATCGATGAGGTAAACTGGACAAGGGTTCAAGAATCATGTTCATCATTTCAGGAACCATCGAGGCTAATGTTCCCATAGAAACATAGATTAATTTACCTGGTTTATCAGCGATTTTTTCAGGTATTTTAAATTCACTCGATTCGATGAGACGAATCGATGAATCAAGTCGAATCCAATTTTTCTTTGGTGGACCAAATTCCTTGTAATCCAAAGGTTCAGGGTAAATATAAATTCCTAATTGTTTTGCGTGTGTTTTATCAACATAATCGACACCAAAGTAATCAAACAATTCTTTACTTTTCTCAACGAATTCCTCTCCCGCTTTTTGGGCTAAATTTCTGTATTCTTCCCAAAGTTCAGGCGGATCGTTGACTGAATATCCAGACATGAATGGAGGTCCATTGTATAGCTCATTAGGTGCGGCTGACATGATCGGAACCACCGGAATATTGGCCTTGACCATCCAAGGCATCACCCAAAGATAATCTGCTAAACAGATATCAGGCTTAATCTCCTCGATTATGTTCAACATGGCGTAATTTTCACCCTTCGAGGCATCAAGAAGAGTGATGAATCCACTGAAAACTGAAACTTTCTCATCTTTAACCAATTCCAAGGGAGAAAATGTTTTCGCTCGATCCAACATGGCTTTAAAAAAGTTCTCATTGACCGGTAACTCTTCTGGAATCTTATGAACTTCATCTTGATGGTCAGTTAATGAGATAAATTTCATCCCATTCGTCTCAATGAGTGACCTAAACCTCGAATAGTGGGCAAAGTAAACATCATGACCTCTTTTACTTAATAATGAACCGATTCCCATGCAAGCATTTAAATGACCAATTCTATCAACAAGTTAAGGACCAGAACAAAAATATCAATAGTATATCAATTAATATCAACGGTGAATTAAATTAAACAACAACAATCAGTTAATTACTTACCCAAGCATCGTTGTAATCACAACTTTCAATGGTTTCTCTTGAGTATCTCCCATTGTGATTAATAATTACTAGAAATTGATTTAATGTTCACTTGATGATTTACAATTTAATTGTAAACAAAATATTTCATCAACTCAAGTTTATATTCAATCATTTAATCACAGTTTCCTTGGTTATTAGTATTGATAAAAACTTCCGATAATCAGTGATTGAGTTGATGATTGGCTTTTCCAATTAGTAAATGACATTGACAATTGTTTTAATTGTTATTATAAAAAAATGTATTCAGATAAGATTAACTCACCTTCATTTTTATCATCAATTTCTAGAAATTAACTAATACACCCTTTAGGAAAATCACAATTAAATCTCTAGTTAATTGTTTACAATTAGAGATTGAAAAATATTATCAACAGATTATTGATTTTGATTGATATTTTTTTTTCGTGTGAAAATAAACAATTTATACTCAATTAATTTCAATTCCTCTGTGAGATTAATAATTGGGATTAAAATATGAGATAATTGAGCTAAATTAACGCGAGAAAGTAAATTAATCCGATTGATCATAATCATAATCAAAAACAGAAACTGTGTTTTGATTAATAAAAAAAATGTTTACTCAATTGAGTAAATAACAAATGAATCGGTTTGATATTTAGTGATTGGTTTAAATCATCAGATTGCCCTCAGGCAATTTGAATTGTATTAAATGGTTTTAATCAAACAAATCAAATGACAATCAAGACAAATAGATGATTAAGTTTACATTTATTTAGAGAAACTAATAAAAAACAATAATAATAATAAGTAAATGTCTCAATCAACTTGTTAAATATGATGAATTACAAAGAGCCATCTTAATCATCATCATTTAAGAATCAAAATTAATAAATTATCAGTTAATAAACTGTAATAATCAACAATTACCCTCCAAGCTATTTACTTAATCCACTTGCTATTTTATCATTTAATTGTTGTGCTTTTTTTTACCGTTATATCAACTTTCAAGAGTTGATGTAACAAAGATGAAGATGAAATCTCAACATTGCCCTAAGGCTATTTGATCATCTTTTCATCATCTAACCATGAGAATCTTCAATTTTCTCATCACAACCATCATCTTTATCCACTAATCTTCATCATCATCACTTGTTTACTTAACTGTTTTTTTTTAATTTTCTTCTCTATCACAAATAAACATCATCATCATCATCATCATCACACCATCAATGTCAATCGTTTGATTTTCATGATGAAATTTTCCACAATGATTAACTTTTTTTTTCTAATTAATTTCTTTTGGTTTTCAAACATTCAAAGAGTTTGATTACAATCAACTAATTCCAATTGTTGATAACATGATTAGAGAGTGATGATGATGATGATGATCTGTTTACAATCCGAATCCAAGCTTCAGTCTATTATTATTATCATGTTAATTCAGAGAGCGAGAGATTAGTTTAAATTGTTAACAAATTGTTGTTGTTATTATTTAGATTTAGGAAAAACATATTAGCACAATAAACTTTTACAATTTTACTCCAAACAACGATAACAATGAATGCTAATCATAATAACGACAATAAATGAACGATACCTTGTATGTGGTCCTTAACATGATTACCATTATTACGATTAATCAATTTAACCACAGTGTAATGGTCAGTGTAATTGACCACTGCCCTTAAATAGTGAAGAGAAGAGGAAGAGGGGGAAAAAAGAGAGACTTCGATGAAGATGAAAAGAAGAGAAGAGAAAATTTCGAACCAAGGTAAAGAACGATTATTCTCTTCACCTTTCATCTCGAACCTGAGGATGAGGATGATGACCAAGAATAAAAAGAAAATGGTTACGACGACCTCACAGGTAAGAATAGGGAAAGAATATGAAGAAGAAAAAAGTTCTAATTTAGTTGTAAAACTTTATTCTAAAACCTTTGGGCTTATTGATTGAATGGTTTTTAACAGATTAGCTTTTACTAATTTACCTTTTCATCTTAATCTTCAGATTATCCCTTTCATCGTCATCATCATCATCATCTTTTGATGCTCTTTACTTTTCCAATAATAATAATGTTTTTGCATAATAAACACTTGAATAAACTAACGAATTGTTTGTTTCCTTTGTCAAATTAACTCACATTTTCAATGTTAATACTTTTTTTTTCTTCCTACAGTTGATCCTTTATGCTTTTACCATCATCATAATCATCGTTAATCTACTAGGGATTAAGTCTTTAGGGAAGATGATTAGGAAAAAGGAAACAATATTATGATCACAATAGGGACACACACAAAGAGAGAGCGAGTGAGATATCAATGGGAAAAATAATATTATCAAATCCTGTGAGCAGAAAATATTTACATTGATGGAAAGGTGATGAAAAGATTAACATTTAATTCAGTTAACTTACACATTTAATTGATAACAATTAATCTAACTGTTGGTAGTAATCAAGGCGAAGGATGTATTTGCATAATCCAATTAATTGTATTTTCTTAATCTTGTGGTTACATTTAGTAACTATTCATATATTCATGGATTATTTTTAGAATAGGAAATGAAAAGTTCATAAATCGAGCTTGAGTTTGGAACGAATGAAATTTTTACCATTTTCGTGTTTAGTTTATGCTCGTGATTAGAGCTAATTGTTGATAACAATTAACTTGATTTCTACCTTTAGATTTTTATCAATGGTATCAATTTGTAAAGGATTCGAAAGCAATTGTTTGTATTTCTTTATCCTCTTTCTTTTGTCGAATTGACAAGAAAAAGTTCTAATCACAAATAAAGGATATTTTTTCTTGAGACATTGAGACACACACACACAACCACACAACTGTAGTATTTAGATTAGCTTTGTTGTTTGACCATTCAACTGACCATCTTAGTTTAAACCCAATCTCCTACTAGGTTTGTGTAAACACCTTGATTCATCTAGTTGATCAAACTGATAACCACCAACTTAGTTGACCATTGTAAATATCATACATGTTGACCATCAATTGATAACAAAACAAGTTATCAAAATCAAAGTTAACATGATCATTATTGATAACAATTCAAATCTTATCATATCTTATCAGTATTATATTTCAAGGAATTGACTTTTCGTTGACAATAATCAAGAGCAATCACATTGAAACTGATACGGTAAACATGTTTACAGTTAACAAGAAAGTGGTAGAAACCTACAAATTTAAAGATTTCACGAAATTTGTTCAATTGTGAAATTACCTGAATGATATCAACATCTGATCCTAATCTGGTATTGATTATGGATAACCATTAGTAGGTGGTTTGTAGCACTCGGAAGGTTTAATACAGTCATCCAGATCTCTGTTACGGAATCAGACCTTTTTGGACAACTAAAAAACGGAAATATTGATACACGAAAGGTACGACCTTCGATAACATGGAGGAGCTGATATACAAGTTCTGAATGATATAAATTCTGTGATAAAGAGAGTACTCGGAGAAATTAGCTGATCACAATTAGAACTGATTAACATAATCTTCTTACAATTGCATTGATAACAATTTGATTATTACAATTCCAAAAACTGATCTAGTGATTTATAAATAAATCAAAATCATTTGTCCTGACAAAGTCCCATTCTATCAATCCCTGACTATGAATACATATCAATAACAACGATTCAGTGGAGCAATAATATTATTATTATTGATATACTTGTGATCGTATACCGATAGTTGATTATTACAATCAAATCAATTGTAAGCTACCTCTTAACAGGAAGATAATCATTGAAATGTAAGGGGAATTAATTTCCAAAATATTCGAATGAACAAAAAAAAATTCGAAAAAGAAAAAAAAACTTTTTTTCGACTAGCTAATAATTCACTTCTACAGGTAAACGAGTATTCAAATATCAAGTATCATCAATAGTCAAGTGGCCAGTTAGTATTATTGTTATTACATAGTTGAGAATATATTTTTTATCATCAACCGAGGCAAATGTATAACAATTCAGATATTGAGTCAAGTTAATCAAGTTTGTTTGAAATTGTTTGAGCGCGAATGCTCAAGTGTATTTATGATAACATAAAATATTTCCTGTCAGTTGATTTTCAATCAAATCAACATCATTGTTATCCTTTAATTGTTGTATTCACATAACAACAAGTTTTAACAATAATCTTTCAAACTAAATTATCATCATCATCAACAAGGAGTAGTAACATTGATATACAGTTGATACAATTTCAAGAGTTGTTGATGATTATAAATAGATGTAAACAAGATGAAACAGATGAGGATAAAGATGATTATGATGATGAGGGTGATGATGAATACACATTGTGAACATCATTAAGATGGATGATGTTATTATGATGACGATTATCATCAAAGTGTGTGTGTGTATGTATATAAATATCATGTAAACATTTTTCTATTGGTTAACAAAAGTACATAAGATTTACAGGAAGAAAACATTTTCTACAAATTGATCATCATCATTATCATCTTGTTGATGATGATGATTATGTTTGCGGTTAGTGTAATCATTATAACTGATTAGCGTTAACGAACATTATCTCTATCATTATCTGCTTAAATGAGATATCGCACATGATTAATCACCAACGAATCGTAATTATAATCCATCCTCATCTTTATCTTCCTCCTTTTTTTCTTCATCATCTTCATTTTGGTTCCTTTTTAACGCCTTACTTCCTGTAGACCGAAACCGAGGTGGATAATAGATGAATCCATAAGAGTTTAATGTTGAACCTTGAGACGAAATTCAGCTTCATCCTCATCATTTCCGTCTCCTCCTCCTTCTTCTTCATCTTTATGGATCATTGGTACTCGAAACGATTAGTTAAAGTTTCTTTTCGATGATATAAGAGAAGAAGAATCAAGAAAAAAAAACGAAAGAAAAAAAGTTTCGTAAACATTTTCGATTCTTGAAGAGTAATTGGGAACTTCCTTTACTTTCAACTTCCGTTTTCACGATAATCGAATAAAATATTTCATCATCTTCCTCCTTCAATCTCTCTCTCTCTCTCACTTTTCCCACTCCCACTCTTGTTTTTTTCTTGAATAACTTAATCTCCAAGTCTAACAAGCTCTACAATCTCTATGTAACCTTTAACTACTTCTAGTCAACTGAAAAATTGGATAACATTTTTCAAATTGTTCTGTCACCTTATATATTACATTTAGAGAAAAGGAAAAGAAGAAAAATTTTTCTTCTCATTTTCCAATTTTCAAGTTATTCTGATAATGATAATATTAGAAAAAGAAGTGAAAATTTTTTCGATTCTTGGAAAACAACATTATTTGTTTTCTACCATGAAATTGTTATTGAGTAAAATAAAGAGACAATGATAATAATTGTTTATCATCAAGTTAATTGTTTACAATAAAACAATAACATTTCATATTAGTTAATTTATCAAACTAAGAAGAAGATGAAGAAGAAAAAAACTCTCACTTCGTATTACATATTTGATATATTCTGATACATTCTGTTGATTTTTGTCATTCACTGAGACAACAATTTGATTCAGTAAACTTGGCAAGGTATAATTGTCAACAATTAACATTATCATCTTAATCATAACGGTTAATTCTTGAAAGCAATTAAGACTTACAAGTGATAAGTGTTAAAGAAAATAAAAACAAAGACACCATGAATACGATATTGTAGATCAGTGTTCAGGTTGATTTTCAGAACGATTAGTTTCATGATGAGAGAGATGAAGATGAGGATGATGAAGAAGATGATAAAAGTGAATTTGTTTTTATGTATTAAAATGAATGTCTTGTTGTCAAAGTTGAAAAAGGTTCAAAGAGAAGACACTTGATTGCATTTCATTATTTTCTTTCTGAAAATTCTTTGGCAAATGATGAGGATGAAAATCTCTCTCTCTCTCTCTCTCTCTCTCTTCACTTTACTTTTATCATCATCTTTGTCTGTTCCCATTCAAACTCTATACTCAACAACAACAATAATAATAACAAATGACAATTCTATCATCTCCATCCTCATCCCATTAATCTAATTTATTTTATTGAAAAGCATCATCATCATCAATCCACTTTCATCCTCATCATCTTGATAATCATGATACTTTTGATGTAATTTGTCAATAATAATAACTAAACATTTAAAATGCGACAATCAACATTTCCAATACATAAAAGTTATCTAATCAATAAGAAATTAACTTCAATAATCAAATCTATCATCAAATAAGTAAATCATTACGATTAACAGGTATTAATATTAATACTAGTTGATATTATATATTCCTGTGGTATTTCAACATTTGATTACTATGAATATCCTTTGCGTCTAAAAATATCTCAATAGAAAGGTAATAATAATATTATCAATATTATGGTTACCTTGAGTTAATCCATATAATATCATAGCCGGAAATGTGGTGATTAAATCTGAAGGATCAAGTGAGGTAGAAGAAGCTGAAAGATGATAAGCAAGAGAAAAAGAGATGAATAGGAAAAACTTTTGGGTGGCCTGTCAAAGGCCGTTAACAGTTTAGTACCAGTAGATCAAGATGATAATCTTCCGAAGGGGAAGATACAAAAAATACTAGAAAATACAAGCAACAACAATGAAAGGATGGATTAGCTATTTATCCATAGACATGATTGGGATGGAGACAAAAAATCTCGACGTCCGAATCTCTCTCTCTCTTTTTCTCAATGAGTTTTGTTATTTTGTTATTTTGTTGTTGTTGACAGTTCTCAAAGGGAAGTAATAACAATCATCTTCATCTTCATCATCATCATAATAGTAATAATAAAGTCCTAATAGGCGCGATTCGAAATCCAGATAAAAAAGGTAAACAAAGTTTTCGAGGTGTTTGTAGTTAAAGAGTGTAAAAGGTTGATGATGATGAGAAGGATGAAGATACAAGATGATGATGATGATAATATGAGGAGACAGTTTAACAATTATAAGGTAGAGATCAAGTTAATTGTTGTATACAATTAATTCAAATAAGCGTGAAATAGATTGTTATTGTTAGTCTTATTGGTCGGCTTCTCGTTTTCAAATACTATTGTTATTCGGGTAAATAATATTATCCAAAGATGAGGATGAAGTTTTCATCTCTCATTGGTGATCATCATCATCATCATCATCTATTCATCAATGATTAACAATGAATACATAACAATAATATTAATTCATAATCATTGATGATTATTTGAAAAGGAATTAGAATCATTTAATATATAACATTATTATTGGATTATCTTCAATCAGAATAAATATTTTTACCATTCCAGTGATTTAACTAAACTTATTGAGTCGAAGTTTTTTTTTTCTTCAACATTTTGGACATTTGATTTAATATATTTCGTTTGGTTATAATTCAATTGTAATCAATTTAAATATTATAATGTTAATATCTGGTAATAGTCGTAGTGTTGAAAGTATCACTGTCGCTAAATTGTTATTCAATTGTCATCATACAACAATAATGTTTACTATCAATCTGTTTACTAATCACTTAGATGATAATCTTAATCCAGTTTCTGTTGGGATGTTGATTGGATTAAAATTCAACAGTTAAATTGTGATTGTTGTTTTTTTTTTGCTCTTCTATTATTGATAATTTTGAAAATAAAATAATTCTCAGGACATATGATGGAACTTACGTTTTATGATTCGGGTTTTCCTGTGGATTCCATGGGAGTAGAATAGATAAAACCAGGATATTCTATTTTGGAGATGATATTATATAGAATTTGAGAGAGAAAGAAAGAGAAGGAGTTTCTCTTTTTGGTAATTCTATTCTATTCTTTCTCTCTCTCTCTCTCTTTCTCTCTCTAAAATTGCGCAAAATCTTTCACCGAATATTATTATTAACTTGGGTTGTTGTTGATTCCTTGGGTTGGGAATTGTCATCATCATGGATCATGATGATTAGTTATTTCATGAGAAGATTATTTTTGGCAAATTGTCTTTAAATTGTGTTTTACATGTCAACCAATTGGATAAACTTTGGATTAACTTGATTATCTTGTTTCACAATAATCGGCATTTATTTATGAGACTTTTTATCAAGATACAGTTTAGTTAAGAGAATTTTGTTTTTTCTATCTCAATCTCTCTGAGTAGAACTTTTTTTCCTGGCAAACAATCAACTAAGTAGCATAACTATAGCCTTATAGAATTGTTGGTTAACTGAAAGTTAATTTAATCGCAATCATCATTAAGAAGTATTACAAATTTCACTTTCTCTTACTCTTTAAATTGGATTGAGTAGTAAAGTCTTTTCATGATGATCATTAGATTCCCATTCCTAATGATGATTAGTAGGAAAGACAGTCAATCAATGTAATGATACATTTTTACAATTACAGTTAATTAACTATTAGATTTTAGTTCAATTACCTTGCTGATTATTGACGTTGTTACACAATTAAGAGACACTTTACTTTGGTGGTTATGAGATGATTAAATTTCAAGGTTTCTTGTGTGTTTCGGGTAATATGTTTTTCTTTCAGATTCACATGATGATCAAGTTGATAGTTTATCTCTTTCTGGTTAAACAATTTACTTGGTGATCATGATGTTGATCAAATTGTTGATGGAAATGATGATGATGATGATGATGACAATATGAAGGAGGAAATTGATGAGAATGGTATTCAACTCTTTGTATTTCAAGTTGCTTTCCAAGGAAAAGCTTAGTATTTAATTTCCGTTGACTTATATCAATATTTACTGAGCAAGAAAACATGGAACCTTATATATAATCGTTATAAAATTTTCCATGTTGACAATAGTAAAAAAAAGTCAATTTTTCAGGATCATTTGAAATATAAGATGAGAGAGAGAGACAGAAAAACAGAATCAGCAAAAAGATAAACATTAAGATATAAACAAAAAATGGAATAGGAGAAATAAAAAATTCTAACTGATTTATTACTTATAGTAAATGAATTCACATTTCAACAGATTAATTTACCTGATTAGATGATGTGAGTGGTGAAAATGATGAATATTAAATTGTAACAATTAGTTGATTCCAATAAAATAAAATGAAAACAATCAATTTATGAATTCACAAATTTGTAAACAAACAAACAAAAAATAACAAAACAAATAATCAGAAAGCATAACCAAATTTGATGATAACTTTAATTGTCCCATTAGATTTATGAGAAATTATCGATTGACGATTAATTAAGTTAACAGCAATTAAATAGAAATAAATTAATGAAAACAATCAAAGTGACTTACAGTTTAATGGAAAGTCAATTGTGATGAAAAAAAGAAAATCAAATTTAAGAAAATTAAAAGAAGCGCCAATTATGTAATTCCAATGTTTTCACTTTTGTGACTCATCAAGAGTTCAAATTGAATCGGTTATTGATTGAGCTCTTAATTGTTGTCGCTTATTTTGGTTTCTAATTGTTTCATTTTAATTGTATTTGTTTAATTTCTTGGCTCATCTCAATTCGTAGTTCTAAGGTAAGTGACTGTGAATATTGTTATTCTTTACCTTTGATAACCTTTTTCTCCGTTGTTTTCCTAATTCAAATTGTTTATTATTCATTTTTGTTACATGTTTGTTTAATCGTTTTTTTGTTTTTTCTGTATTTACTTTTTTTTCTAGTGTTTATTTAATCAGTAATTGTCTTGTTTGCCTGTTGACAGTTTTGAGTTATTGTTCTGCACATAATGACATTGATTTTTTCCTCTTATCGGAAAGGCAAACGTGCTGTGGTGTTTAAACCTCTCCAAGTGGCGATTTTCCTATACAAATCTAAATGTAAATTCTGAATTCATGATTGATTGAATTCTGGTGTTGATTGTTTCCATCTTGGGACCTTTTGATCATTTTGATGTTCTCTTAAGGCTACTCTAAGATGATTATGTTACATTTATGTAATTTAATAGCGATTGTGGTTAAAGAAACAATTTGTTTAGATTCTAATTGATAAACAGTTTTCTTTTCTTCGCTGTTGGTATCATCACTGTTTTTTCATATTCTCTTTCAGTTGAGTTGACATGTTTTCTAAATACTGTATTAATGTCTAAAGACCAACTGATATTAATACTTTTATTGCTTCATAAGAGATACTTGAAGAAAAAAGGTAGAGAAAATGAAACAGATGATGATATCCTTTTGTTCACAATTCCACCATTGACTTTACTGTAGAAAAATACAACTTGATCTAATTTTTTTTATTCTCTTTTCTGTTACAGTTTATTCATAACTATTGGAATATATAGAATCCACTTGAAGGAATTTGTATCTTTTGCTGATAATCAAACGGATTTAGAGATGTTAACGTTTTTCCATCAATTTTTCCTTTCAATCAATTCTTTGTGAGTATTAAAACTAATCAATCTATGGATTTTCACCAAAGATCAAAAAAAGGTCATCTCTAGGATACAATACATGCCTAGGGGTATATTCATTTTTTTCCACGATATTTGAATAGAGAGATAAATGGGCTTATTAAAACAAAGTATATTGTAGTTAACAATTATTACATCAGTTGATTTGTTAAATATGATTACAAATATTAACAGTTAAGAGAACAGTTAATAAATTACTCCATTTGTTGATTTTAAAGCTCAAATTCTTTAATTGTGAAAGTTTTCTGGTATTTTGCTGATTGTTACTTGTTGATTATCTCCTTTGAAACTTTCATCATTACCATGGAAGCAAGAAATTATCTTACTGATGATGAGAGTGATAATCATTGTAAAAATAATAAAGAAAGTGACCAAAGAAATGTGTTGGTTAATCTTGGAAAATTAGTGACCATTGATGGAAATTGTTATGACGATCACAATATTAAGTTGAGTGATTTGATTAATTTGGAAACTGATAATGATTTGCCTCAAGTTGATGTCGCGAACTGGAACTACGCGAAACGATTTCCTTTCATTCTAAAATGGCTCGACAATTTCTGGTTCTATAACGAAATCGCAATCAAAAATGGACGCATAGTGAAATCGTCATTACCGAGTTATATTTCTAAGAAAAATATTTTTAATATTAAGCGACGCTCAAAGGCTTCAAGACAAGTCAATCCAAATCCTCGAGTCTTTGCTCATGTACAAAATGAAGTACCTTGGCCTGAATCGGATCTCGAACCATTATTGACCCCTGTTCTATCCGATACAATAATAAGACGAGTTCTCAAAGGGATGTCACAAGGAAAACTCTACAACATTGATTACAAGAAGCTGAGTAAAATTTTCATACATCGAATCAGGATGGATAAAGATGAACGTGCCAAATGCCCACTTTGCGATAATAAGTACGATAACAAGCTAAATGCCATTAAGCACATTGAAAGTATTCACACGAATTTCGCTTGTTTTTGTGGTTCATGTGGACAAATCTATTTACGACGAGCTTTATGTTTAACTCACGAATGCACAAAGAGATGAAAGTGGCCTGGAACTTACTCAGAGCAACTTCTATAATAATTAACTAGCGAACGAATAATTTGTTACAAATCAAATAATTTCTATATTCAATAAAATGGTTAAGTTTCAACGACATCGATCCTAAGACCGATTCATAATCTAATCGTATTAATCAAGTCTCCAAATTTTTCTCCTGCCTAATTAATTTCTCATGATAGATTCTCTAATTAAAAGCGATATTCTCTATTTTCTGTAAAAGATTTACCTTTCTTATTGACCTGATAACCTTTTTCTTGGCCTGGGGGTACATTCATTTTTTTCCACGATATTTGAAATGAAGGAGAATTAATTTCAATGAGAGAATTGATTTTTTCTTTGGAATTAAAATTTTATTTCTTTTGAAAGTAAATTGATAAACAGTAAAATCTTGAGTATTTTTATTTGTTTCTCATTTTCAAGATTTACCTTTCTTGCTTTTGACCTGATAACTTTTTTTTTCTTGTGGATACCACTGTAGACTATCAAGTGATAAATGTTTACAGTGGTCAACAAAAATGCTTTTACTGGTCAGTGGATTAATTTTATGTTAGATGTAAGCATAAAATGATATATTATTGATGAGGAGTATCTCTCTTGAGAAAAGCTAAACAATTTACTCAAGGATTTGTCTGTATTAATAATAGACAAACTATTGATATTTTTGTTCAATCAAATTGATTTTGGTTGTTCAGCTAAACGAGAATACGTAATAAAAGAGAGAGTGAGAGAGACAAGAAAAATAAGAAGAGGGAAATGACAGTGATGAGGATGATCAATAATAAGAAATAGGAGATATTATTTTGTTATTAATACAGAGATTTTATATCTATGGTGTGTAATTACAAATGAAAAGGTTTAAGGTGAAAATTGAAAATGATTGTTACTCATATGATACTTTTGATTCCAATAAGATTATCGATTGAGAAAATTGATTGTGATTTGATTGTTGTCGACGTTAATTGTTGACTTGTTTCCAATTGTTTTACTGATTGTGCTGACGATTGGCTTAATATTAGTGAATTAACCAAACCATTAAAATGTTGAGTCGCATTGTTGATGGAAAGTGGTACTGAACTATTAATGGCGGTGGTTGTGGCGGTGGTTGTTGCTGTTGGTGTTGTTGTTGTTGTTGTTGAAGATGTTGAAGATGATGATAATGTTGATGATGATGAAGATGAGTTACGGAAATTAGATGAAAATTGTTGCATATTGTTTAATGGTTGTCTAAATGGTTGATTTAATGATGAACCATCAAGACGACCTAATGAAGTATCCATATTGTGATTACTATGATTGTTTGTTAATGGTGATGAAGGTGAAGATGAGGATGAAGAAGATGATGATGATGATGATAATTGAGAATTATTTGGATTATTAGAATTTGTATTATTATTGTGATTGTTATTGTTATTAGATGTTGGATGTCCCATCGTTAAGTTAATCAACTGGAGCGGATGTCGCATTGTAATATCATGAGGTCGCATTAATGGTAAATGGGTCGCCAATGGTGTCAAATAAGGATAACTGGCTGAAGATAGGGCAGGATGAATGAATCCTCCTGGACCATGGTGATGGTGGTGATGATGATGAGCCGAATGATTTGGAGGAAATCGTCCGTAAGGATCTAAACCCGCTGATGCCGCCATACAGAAAGCAGAAGCTTCCTTAATAAGGTCAACTTGTTGTCTCTTATATCTTTTCCGTCTTCTCAGAAATGACCCATTGTCAAACATATCCTCTGATGCAGGGTCAAGAGTCCAGTAATTACCTTTACCTGGATTACCTGGTTCTCTGGGTATCTTAACGAAACAATCGTTTAATGATAAATTGTGTCTAATTGAATTTTGCCACATTGGATATTTTTCCTTATAATAAGGAAATCGTGATTTGATAAAGTCACAAATTCCACTGAGGGTTAACTTTTTATCCGGTGATTGTAAAATTGCCATGGTAATTAAAGCGATGTATGAGTAAGGCGGTTTCACTAAATGACCTTTTTTATTGGTTTCCGGAGCGGGTGAGGGCGATGAAGGTGGTGATGTGGACGAGGAGGACGAATGATCGTCGTGATTAGGTGATTTCATTTGAGATTAATTATGTTGGTTGGTTTTGCTTCCGCTGGACACACAACACAAATACACATATACACACACAGACACGGACACTCTGAGAGTGAATGAGAGAGTCACTGAGTGAAATATAATCAAATGGATTAACTGTAATTGCGACAAGTGATACAATGATAGTGATTCCGCTGGAAAGACTAGAGAATTGTAGAAAGAAAAGAGAGAGAGAGATGATGAAGGAAGATGATAAAAGATACTAACACGAGGTTCACCACTACAATAAGAGGAACAGCTAATTTACTACAGGGAGGGAACATGTTCACACCCAGTTACAGTATATGAATAGTGTATCGTGAAAGGAGGAGTCAATCTAAGGATTGGCTACATTGAAAGTTAACCTATACCCAAAATCATCTTCATCTTTTGGTAACAGTTTTTATCTCCATCCTCATCTTTTTATCTTCTTTTTTCAATATCACTTACAATATCTTATTCGATATTCAAACATCTTCATCTCATCTTTTATATCATCTCTCTCTCTCTCTCTCTCTCTCTCTCTCTCTCTCTCGTTTTTTAAACTCATCTCTCTTTGTCATCTTCCTTTTTTTCATCTTCATCTTCATCTTCATCCTCATCATTTTCTTTCTTTCTCTTCATTTCTCTTTTATCACTTTCTTTTCATCGTAATGTTAATATTATCTGAATGAATCATGTAACCAAAATGATCAATCATCGACTCATTCAATTATTTTATTGATTTTATGATTTCTAATGATATTTTTTTTTCTTCACCTTTTTTTTGTCACCAGATTGAAACAATTAACATGCTCAGGAAAACCGTGATTACTTTTGGCGGATGATTAAGTTTTCTGATTAATGAGTCTGACAATTGAAGATTTTGTAATTAACAAGTAAAACTAATTAAGCTTCTGGGTGTATGAATATAGTAGCATGAGTACAGATTACATGGTTAACATAATTATATCATTTTCCCAGCAATTATTGGATTGGAGCAATTTGGAAAAACCTCAATTGATTAACATTGTTTATTCCGTTAATCATGTAAACAATTTATTAATTATTTCCATCTGTAATTTAACCATTTACATTCAAATGATTAAATGATCACAATTAATTTGATGATATTCAACAGATACAAAGTCTGTTTTATTGTTTTGATTATCACAATCATTGAAAGTTGTAAACACAAGATACAAAACAATCAACTAATAGTCAACAAATGTATCACTAATTATATCTTAAATTTCAAGTAATTTGTTTACGACTTGACTTTAAGTCTTAACCATAATTCACAAACAATTTATCAATGGTTGATAGTTTTTCTCTTGCTTGTGTTTACAATATTAACCAAAAAAAAAAGTAAACGCAAAGGAAACTTATATATGTGTCTCTTATACTTTGACGATCATCTAAACCAGACTGCTTGGCCTTTTGTGGCTTTAGTGTCAATGGTGAAGATGAGTGACCCTTGGGTGACCTTTTCTCACGTCGAAATTGCCTTGAAAGACATTACCAAAGTGAGAAGAAAATTAATTAATCTTATTTTGTTTTATTCGCCACAGTTTCTATTCATCATAACCTCTCTTTGAGTCTCAAATTGTCCAGCCGAAAAGGAGTCAAACCAATACAATTATTCATCTTGGTTCTCTTTACATCCTCATCCGGATTCCATGTCCTTCATGTTGACCCTTTTGTTTTTTTCATTCAGAAGAAAATGAACAAAAAAAAAGAACAGTTAATTGTCAATTCCGTGACCAATTTGATTTTCTAATGCATTTTCTTTGGATATTTTTTCTTGTCAACATTTTGCCTTCTTATCAAATTACTGTAAAAATGTTGACTGATTTATTGGTAAACATTATCACTACGATTATTACAGTTACTTTAACTTGTTAGTTAATTGTTGTTGCGAGAAATCAACAAGTTTGTTGGACTACTTTCAACAATTTAGACCCAATTTTAAGGATAAACTTATAACGATGTTGATTAACTATTTTCATCATTTGATTGTCCAAGTGATTGTTATATTTTTAGATATTCAAATGATAAACAATTAAGCTTATCATACATATGATATAATATATAATATATATAAATAGCTGATCAGTAGTTTATTTATAATAACATTGAATTAATGATCACTGTTGAAATTAGTAAATAATTAATCAACTTATCGTGACAATTGATCATTAAAAAGGGTAATCAATTGAATAAAATTTACTCCGATTAACTTAATTAAAAGTTAATCTAATATCCAATTACGCGGGAATCATTAGCAATCTATTAATTAAATTTGATCAAGCAAAGATTAACCCAAAACTAGTGATTACCTTTTAATAGAAATGCTTAGGTAATCAGATTTGATTTAGTTTTAATGTTGTTCAACAATTTGTAAATTAACCAAGTTAAATAGTTAATAAAGTTAATCATAATTGTTATGATTGAATGATTTTAATACAACCTAACGGGGAAAAAAAGTTAACCAACTAAATTAACTAAACCCAATAAGGAGATGATGTTTGTCTCTAAATTGTCAACTATTATATTAATAATATACTTTACATGATTAATATTATTTCATTGATATTGTGTATCAAATATGTAATAATATTTGATTGTTGAAATGGAATCAAAGTAAATTGAATTAACTTAATCATGAGTCAAATATAAATACTCTTGTGATTGTATTTGTATTACCTTTGATTAGATAAACTCAATTGTTTCGTTTAAGTTAAGTCATCATTTTCAAATAACATTGATTGTTGGCTCTTGATGATGATGATGATGATAAGGATGAGAAGGATGAAGATAAGGATTGAAAACAAATCTAATTCTGTGATTGCAATGAAAGTTAATATGGTTATAAATGATTCTGTCCTCGGATTAATGGCCAATTAACCATAACCGTGATTAAGTTAATGAAGCAAGAGTTAGTTAGATTATTATTATTACGATTATCATATTAGTGTTTATCATGATGTAAACATTGATTGTAGTGTTGGTGATATGTATTGTGTATAAAAAAAGGCAATTGAATTAGTTGATGGTTGAATGAATCAACAATCAAATTTAACCATGAAAGAAAATAAAATTTATAAATAGATATAATTTAGACTCTTGATTATCATCTTATATGTATCATGAATAAGATGATGATAATAATATTGCAATGGCTTCGGGATGATATTGGTAAGGTAAAAGGTAGATGATGGAAGTAAGGTGAAGATGATGATAAGGATGATGTAGTTGTAGTAGATAATAATAAGTGATGGTAATGATGATGATGATGAGGAGGAGGATAGGGAGTGATAAATGCTGTAACTGGGAGTTGATGCTATTGTTGAAGGTTCTAAGTGAAGGTTTCGATTGTAAATATTGATCATACTCTTTTGAAATGAGAAAGAGAAGAAGAGAGATTTATCTTCCTCTTTCTTTTCATCCTAGAATTTGCCTCTTTACACTTGCCTCTTCCTCCTTCATCCCAAATCATTTAATCAACAAATAACCTTGATTATTATTGTTTACTGTAAATAACTTTTCCACTTCCGACATTTGGTCTTGTTAAGTGTAAACAATTATATTTGATTATTATGTTGATGATAATCGTCGTTGATTGACCATGAAATTAGTGATTAATTCAAATCCGTTTGTACATCAAACCATTGAAAGTACACAAGAGAGAGAGAAAAAGAGAGAGAGAGAGAGAGAGAGAGAGAATGACAAAGATACAAAACGACAGATTGGATTTGTTATCATTAACATGATAAACTTAATCATCTTCACCCTAATTCCGAGCATCAATTTCAATTGTTACAAATGATACTTGATCATCTCTGGTTACCAAGGTAAATGTTAATCATGGTGATGATGATGATAAAAGAACAGTAAATAACAGGAACTAACTGTTAATTTAAATGCATCCTCACAATATTATCTGATGATGATGATGATGAAGGATGAAGAAGATGAATGAAAAAAGAAAAAGAATTTTTTTCCTTTGACAGTAACAATAAAGTAACAATGATGAAGACGAAAGAAGATGAAGATGAAGGTGATTGTCTTCATCTTCATTGTAATGATAAAGATTTATCACTTGTCGCAATTCAATTAGCTAACTGTTCACAATTGCCTTTTGCAATCAACAAACAACAATCTGTTTCATGATTACCTTAAAAACTTTTTTTTATATTTACTTTGATTCACTTTCTATTGTCATCGTTGACAATCAACAATATAATCAATGATTGTTGAAGATAATCAACCAAATGACAATCATGTTGATTATCACCATTATCAGTGTCAATAAATTGTGGTCTTTTTATTGTTAAATTGTTTCTCTTTATTGTAACAATTTAGTTTGGTGATTGATTCAACTTTCTATCTACTCTTCTCCTTATAGATGTTAGAGTTTTTTTTCCTGTTAATAGTTAGATCTATAGTTTGATTGTAATTAAAGTTTCTAATTAAATTAACAATAATTAGCTGGAAAAATTGTTTTGATTTACTTAATTGTCAAGATTATTGTTTTAACTCAATACAAACTATTGAGAGATTGTGACTTACTTGCTCTTGTACCAATTGATTGCCTTTAGTGTACAACCTTATTGGACAGTTTCCTTAAATCATTTACATGGTGATTAGATATCAATTAATCAATTGATTGATTTAGACGATTAGTGAGAAAAGTTTCAGAGAGAGTGAGGGAGCTGATATACAGGGTAATCTATTGAAAGGAGATATAACTCTGAGAATGGATTAGATTAGTTGGAAAAAAGTGAGAAAAAAAATCATCTCCAGAGTTTTTCATCCATCTGGTTTTCCCATACATTTGTATGTGAGTTTAAGGATGAGGATGGAGAAGATGATGATGATGATGATACTGATGAGGAAGATAAAAAAACAGGAAAAACAGATAAATGTTTTTATAGAGCCTTATACACTCATATAGGGAGTCCAATGGTTCCTCTCTCTCTCTCTCTCTCTCTCTCTCTCTCTCTCTCTCTCTCTCTTTCTCTCTCTTTGTGTCATTGATGATGTTAAGTGTTCATATGAAATTGAATGAAGTTGAAAGGAAAACAATTTGAAGATGAGGATGAGGATGAGAAATGAAGAAAGAGAGAAAGAGAGAAACGATGAAAAAGAAGATGAAATGAATAATACTTCTTCTCATCCACTTATCCCTTTATCTTCGTTGACAGTTTCTTCATCTTCTCTTTTTTCATCCATCATCAGCATCCTCATCTTCATGTACGAAGGTGTGTAAATGGTTATAACCATTGCCACGAGTTTCAAAGTAACTGTGATGAAATTTCAAGTTAATTGTCTGTCATTTATATTAATCATTTCAAGAATTTAAATTAACACTTTTGTTTACTACTCATTGATTGTTGTTGGACTATTGATTAGTTGGCTAATTGTTGTTGATTGTTGTGCTAATTTCCTTCAAGCAAATGGTTAACTTTGATTATCTTTTTATTTTGAAAAATATTTTTCTTAACACCAGATTGACT